GAAGCGGATTGAGAAGAACGATTTGCATTGATTTGCGCATTTTTAAAGATGGCAAAAACAACAAGATTAATTGGATCCATAACATTTCGAGAAAGATCTTCAGTTGCTGCCTCTCATTGCAAAACGTGAATCAGGTAACTTAAAATACAAATTAAATTCATACAAAAAATCGATACAAACAACAAAGTCATAAGGAATGGCCAAGACGCTAATCAATAATGTGAAAAAGTCAAACGCTATGGGCAGCAAAATCGGGGAAAAGACCTCTAGGGGAAGAAGTTGGGAAGGAAAATGTGTAAACAGGGAGCCAATGTTACCAAGGCAGAGGGAGGTTCTATTCTTTGAGAATAAGTTTTAGCGAACACCAGAATCATGATTTTATTGGTCTAAACTTTCGGGCTCCTGCAACAAGGTACCTTTGAGGCTGGATAACTCAGCACCCAATGTATCCAACGAACAGATTTTTCTGGTCCTCTGGAAGAGAGTATATAAGAAGTTGCGTTTCCATTGAATGGGAGCAAAACTCACATAATGCAAATACTGACCTTTTCCAGGTATTCTTGTGGAGGACCGTGTTTACGAATTTCCATGTACTTTCAGATCCAAGTAAATAAAGCAAATGCAACGGCAATTGGCCGCCAGGGCTAAGAAAAGTTTACCTAACTGGTTATGGAAACAAGAAGACAGAATTCCCCGTTCATCGACTACTGAACATCGGCTAGACACGGGCCATTCTTTTGACCCCAAAACCTCTTTCCGAGTACTTGATCGGGCACGAACAACTCGTACCTTACGCTATGTGGAAGCAGCCTACATACGGCGGTCCAAACCTGACCTATGTAAACAGCTGGAGCATGTAGTGAACTTCCTCTGTCGTGCTAACATTGGCTCCCTGTTTACACATCTTCCCCCCCCCCAGCTTTTTACCTCAGACGTCTTTTCCCCGTTTTTACTGCCTTTAGCGTTTAAATTTCTCTCGTTATTGATTAGCCCCTTGGCAATTCCTTATGACTTTATTGTCTGTCTGAATTTTTTTGTATGCATTTAATTTGTATTTTCTCTAACGTGATCACGTTATGCAATGAGAGGCAGCAACTGAAGAGCTCTCTCAAAATGTCATGGATCCAATAAATCTTGCTGTTTTTGCCATCTTTAAAGTTGCACCTGGGAAATGTTGCTTTAAATTGCGCATTTTTATATGCCTCTCCGCCCAGGGACGGATTCTACAACCTAACCAAGGAAAACGATTCCGTCCTCTATGGGGACCTCGTTAGAGGACTGTCAAAGTTGGAAGCCATCACCGGCGTTCTCTACGTGGCCACTGGTGTTCATGCACCCTGGCTCACAAATCTGACCTTCCTGTCTAAATTGCGGACCATTCAAGGAAGTAAGTCTGTTTATAAATTGCCGATGTTATTAAATCAATCGAGGAGGAGCATTGGGTCTAGGATCCTGCTACGCAGACGGGGACTGCAATACGCTCGCGGCCTAAGCCGAAAAAATCACGTAACAGCAGTCCAAGCCAGTCGAATCATGCGCGCGGGCAACCGTGTGCGCGGTTGCATCGAGCTCGCGTGACGCCCTAGGCTATTTTGTCTGCGATGCGTTACTTATCGATGAATTTCTCCGGATAGCCGTTTCCAAGAGACACTTTATTGAGAAAACTGATCTGTCCTTCGAAAGTATCTCAAGACCAGCTTCTAGTGGCTCTATATTAGTTTCCTCTGAATGAGAACGAAACTAAGGAAGTGCATATACTGTCCAATCCAGGTAATTTTCCGATAGATGGGTCTCTGAATAGAACCATTTGCCCGTCTGCGTATAAGCACATCTAAGAAAGCCAATGTTTCTTATCTTTGCATGCGCCCCGTTCATAGCTACAAGTAGTAATTCTTACTCTTTATGGTCTTCGACTACGGCAAAATGCCATCCACGCATCGCCCAAAGAAAAAAAGTTTTTTCTAAGTTTTTGACTATTTTTTCCAGGTTATACATGAAGGTATTCACTAACCCAAATCCTACTGAACTGCCCAGAGCTACGCCATCGGTCTCTCGATAAAACTCTACGTTGAACAAGAACTGTTCATTGTTCGTGCATAGCTGTAGTAGTTTCCTTTGTAGACTTAGTTCCAAACATGTTTCAGTCGCACACTCACAAATTGTGTCAGTAGTTTCATTCCGTGGCGCGGTTATCAACAGGCTTTGGAAGCCAAGTGAAATCATGTCCTTATTCCCTAAATTTTCATTCTTCACTTCTTCTACGAAGGAAAAGATTTTATTGGTAGTGCGACCATCAAGGTTGCATATGATCGGTTGAATTTGTTGGACTAGCTGTTGGCCAAGTTAATATTGCTGTGAATCCATCATTGCTAAAGTTGGTCGCATTATACCCTATTATGAAGAACGACCATTACGTGATTGCTGTAAGATTTGGGGGCCGAAACTTGGGCTGTGTTTGTGTAACAGGGAGTTTCTTATAAAAATCCTTGGATTTCTTAAGTCAGGCAATCTACTGTATATAAACTGCAACTCTCTGTGCATGAATTGCCCGTTTATGCTATTGCCTCTGATGAAGGATCCGCGAAGAAATCCGAAAGGAAAGGCGAATAAGGTCTTTAAAAACGAACATAGGAGTCCTAGGAAATAATTGAGAATTAGATACGATTGCTAGGAAAATACCTTCATTGGCCTGACGTTTCGACACCCGTCGCGGATTCTTCATCAGAGACATGAACAGAAAGCAGTAAAAGAAGCGGGTAACACATGCTCCAGTCAGTAGACAACGACTTGCCCACCCCATATTCGGTACTGAGGCTCAATTTGGCCAAAAAAATCGCCATTCGGAGAACGCACAGGCCACCGCGATGTCTTACGCCAACACCGGAGATCCAGATGGCCGAGCAATCATCACGCCCAACTCCACCGCACATGATGAAATTTCAGCAAGTCAAAGTCCGCATGCCGGTAATCAAGCAATAAACACACAAGATTGTCGTTGCTGTCATACGTGTGCAGTAATGACTCTGTCCTATAAATACTGCAAAATCTTGTGCATGTTTTACCAACTTATCCTCTCTGC